TGCGACCAGATTTCCGAGCTTCCAAGCGGGCTCAGATAGACGTACTGTTGCCATGCAATGGCCCACTCGATGTATTTTATTTTGTATATCTGCATTTATATCATGCACAGATGCACTCGATTGGTGCAGGCATTATTGCGCACATGGCGTAAGGCCGCGGTTGAGCAGCCTTCTGCTTCCCCTCCTTTGCCACACAAAGGCTCCTCCACATTTTAGTGTATGCAGAGTAAATAGTACGTGGGGTAACTACTGCGATTTGGTTCGAATCCCTGACTTACATGGAGTACGGGGAAGTATGGAGGATACAACTAATGTGCGATGCAAACGGTCCCCTTGTAAGCTGTGTGCAGACATGTAGGATGATGTGGTTCATTTCGTATTCATTAACATGCACCATCCTTCAAATCCAACGACTGTGGGGGACGATGGATAGTGTGGGGCAGGCTGTACTGTCTTAGTCAGCCCAGCTCCACGCTCCTCTGAAGAGATGTCGCAACGCTTAGGCATAATTTTATTAGAAACGTAGTATGTCGATTTGCAAAATAGTCAGTTGGGACGCATTTGAGTTTCCTGTGGTCTGTCTACGTGCCGCGGCCACCAGCGGAACACGCTGCGTAGCCGAAGCAAGCTGACGGCGGGGTTGCCCGCATTAAAAAGCCAGTGACGATCTTTATACAGACTAAATAAAACACAGATACTCCGCTATTTGTTCAAAATTTAGAAGTTCATCTTCTGTTGACCTCTGAGGGCCTCCGGTGAGAACGGGGCCCATAAGACGAATGCTAACGGGACTGGCGGAGTCCATCCTTAACTGCACTCGATATGCATGGTTAAGATAGGGACGTGCAACACTGTAATTTCTCCTTAGTTGTTTTTAATTGTTGTAAGTGGTTTTAAGGCTTTCTTAAGACAGCTTGTGCGCAAATGCTATGGCTGCATCGGGTTTCTGTTTCCACGCGGCGCCCCTCGGGTATTTTTCAGGTCGAATTTTCGCATTTCCCTCGGTGTTACGCCTTTTAAATGTTTTCAAGGCGACCTGTAATTGCTCATCGCGCAGGTCTAAATCAAAACCCGTGGGGAAGTTGAGGGGCAGGGGAGACGGATCCCCGGAGGTTTATTCCTGGGCACAACTCACCAAACAGAGTTGATTTGTTTTCATGTGCAGTGAAAAGGCGAGAATAATATGTTATAAGGAATTTTGGTGTGCAGTAGGAGTTCTCCATTGGGGTGTATGCTCCGGCAGGGTTTCCGGTGTGTGGCTAGGCAGGGTTTCGTTATCGCGGAGCGGCACTGGCTGCTGAAAGTACCGAGTTTATTTGTGAGGGATTCTAAGTACAGTTGGACTAATCATGGAGACAGGAGATGTATCGCCTCCGTCTTTTCCGTGGGAGAAGATGGAAGAAGGGGCTGAGTCTTCCCTCAAGCATGCAGCTGAACTTGAACGTCTGGGTTGGTCTCATGTTGACGGGGGGGAGTGGATCGCTCACACGGAGAGCGGATGGCTGTGCAATCCTAGTGAAAAGGTTTATTTCCATGCAGAAAGAAACATCCTACTGCCTGCACAGCCACAAGCCGCTGCAGCTGAAGGAACGGTGGGCAGCGAAACCTTCCCTGTAGAACACCAACAGCATGTTGAAGGGCCCCAAGGCGGTGACAATTCAGGAGGAGAAGAGGGGGAAGAGGTGGGAGATGATATACAATCCGACGATGATTCCGATTTCATGCTGGATCTCGAGGATGACCTCGACGCTGCGACAGCGCAGAAAAAGGTGAAGAATGATTGCCATAGCAAATTACAGAGCGGAAACGGAACGTAATACATATGCGCGTGCATACCCCTCATTGGACCTACCTGGCTCTTTTGCTTAGTACGGCAAGCTAGTCTTCAAAGCTTAATTTAAATGTTGGTCCGCAGGGCTCGGGAGAAGGCAAAGACACGTGCGAAGACCGATACGTCACACGTGCAGGGATCCCTCTGGGTTTCGTCGCCGGCAGCACTGAGGGCCTCTGTTATTTCTCGGCTATTTACGATGGACACGCAGGAACTGAGTGGGTTGAAACAGCAGCAGAGTGCTCTCCCGGCGCAAGCGCATTCAACAGTATCTTCTCCGTTAGTGGCGTAATTTCCATGCACCTGCATATGCATACACAGCTCCGGCTCGTGCATCAGCAGATACGCTACTCGGTTGTGCATGCCATAGGAACTGTGTGCATGCAGTGCTTGCATGGAGTGTACGGGACTACACTGTTTGCAGGGGATTGACTGGATCCTATCCCGCCGATAGGCGTCCTTATGCTTAGTAGTTGTAGGGCCTCATTTGCGTCTAAGTGTTTAGCTCCTTTCTCGTCTGTGAGTCGATGATTTGAATATTTTGTGACGGGAGCCACAAATGTTCGAAGCAGGGTTGTATCCGTGTGACTTGTGTTGTCAGTTGTGCAGATTACGCCGCGGCGCATCTACACAAGAACATCTTGAGCTGCTACCGCCAGGTCTACAGGACCGTGCAGGTCAGGAGGCAGCTAACTAGCTAGGTAGCTATAGCTAACCAGCATGCTGGGGTGTATGATGCAGTCTGTTGAGTGCTGCTCTTTGACTTGAAAGTGCTGAGGGGTTGCTACGGTGTTTGGAGTTTCAGCGCAAGCGCGAAGAAGAGGCGGCGAGCCACCAGCAGCACTCGCAACAGCAGCGGCGGCGGGAGCAGCGGCCTAACGGGCAGTGGCTGCAGCAGCTGAACAGAACAGCCGAGCCTTTGCGCCCTGAGGAGCAGCG